ATTTTATTGGTATTGTTTTTGAAGGCCGCTGTCGGCACTCGACCTGGCTGCTGTTGATGGATTAGCGAGCGTTAGCCAAACAGCCAACGTTGCCCCCAAGTGCTCGCCCACTCCGCACTCCATGCGGAGCACGTTCGTCCCCGTTCAATGCATCATCAAATGGTCGCAAAAGCTTGACAGGCACACACGGCACAACTCGGCACAGCTGACAGGGCCGGGTCCCTGAAGGCATTAGATTACATTGTTTTGTATACGTTAACAGAGTTTGGCCATTAGGCAGTCCAAAATACCAATTGGGAAATCCTTTCGCCAGCTCAACAAGTTCTAATTTGCTGCAGAGCTCGAGAAAAACAAAAAACTCTTTTTCAATCTGTTGATGGGATTATCAGGTTTTCGCATAAAGCTGAGTGAAAGAAATGCTGTTGCATACATTAAGCTTCACTTTGCTAGCTAAGCTTATCGAAGTGTATTTTATTTTGGAAATATAATAATAATGAAAGAGCTTCCGTCAGGATGTGGCAGAGTTGGTGTTAGGCTCTTAAGAGATCTTCGGTTTATGGGATATTGAAAGTATTTATCAATTTTAAGCTAGAATCTCAGATAACAATACATATTGCTTATTTTGAATATAAAAAACGTATTTAATATTATTTATTTCTCATTCGAATTGAACTGCCGATCAAAATTTGCGAATTGCAAGTTAATTAAAGTTCGGTTAAAGTTCATATTATACAAAGGAACGAACGGATGTTTAATTAAATATAGCTTCAGAGAAGCACATGTCAAATAAACCTGTCCAATTTCAGCCACAATTTCATGTACTGCAGTCGGATTTGTTGAGTGTTCTAACCAAGCTACATCGGATTTGAGAGCAGATACAGATACACAGACACACACAGATAGACAGAGTGCAGATACAGATACAGATACTTAACCTCAAGTTTAATGGCAGCTGCCGTCGTTTTTCAAGTGCTGTGTTGCAGGCAGCCTGCACTCATGCAACAAAATGTTGTGGCTTCTGTGCTGTCTAACTGTAATTTTCGGAACAGTGGCAGTCAACGAGTCGACTGCTGCTGCTGCTGCTGCAGAAATTTTCTGGCCAAGCGGATTAAGTTTCGGCTGCTCACATTTGGCAACTGAGTGCTTGGCCGGGCTGTGGCAGTGGCATGTTGAGGCGCCTTTTGTGGCAAATAAGTTGATTAAATGTGAAATTGTGATGCGTAACATAAATCGCAGCTGAGCAGCAACAATGCGTACAAATTGAATTTCTATAAGGACGACTGAAAAAAACACCTGAAAAGCTGCTGATTTTGTTAGAGGTATATTCAGGCACATACAAACGTATTTAGATTGTTTTCCTGTTGGGTTTTATGAAGCCATTTATGCGTTGAAATTGTATAGATTTATGAGCATCTAAATTCCTTTTTTTTTATGTATATATTTTTCTTGGGTTTTGTGGCCCATTAAACATTGACCCTTTTTTTTTTTTGGTCATAAAACGAGAAAAGTTGTTGAACGTAAATTACGCATACGCAGCGTATGCAGCGCTTGCAAAATTCACAAATGCTAATTGGCAGCAGGGCTGCCAACTGGGCTGGATTTTGCACACACACACGCGAGCACTTAGTAAATCAATTAATTTATGCAGCAGACACTCTCAGACACACACACACACACACACACACACATGGGCGTGCAAAGAGCAGTCCGCTGGGCACACGCAACAGGAGATTCAATTACAGGCGATGCCGAGCATAGGAACAAAGAAACGAAACGCTGCATGGCGCTCAGCAGCTTATTAACTATTGAAATTGATTGGGCGCTGGGGCAACCTATTGATGGCAGCCGCTGTAGCTGGGAGGTGGGAGTGAAAGTGAGAGGGAGAGCGGAATACGGGAGAGCGCTATACGATATGCTAATGCCCAAGCAACAACCCATTCTTAAAGCTCTTGTTGTTTTTGCTACCTAATCGTGCTTAATTTGCTGCAGACGAACAAAGACACCTGCGTGCCTGCCTGCAGGGGAGAAGGGGCAGATGGGAGGGGGTATGGAATGGAGCTTTTTTGTTTTTTTTTTTTTTTAGGAGTCGCTTGCCAAAAGTTCGTTGGCATTTAGCGGCTCACGGACGCGGCGTAACGGAGTACGGCGTAACTTTCGCCGTTAAACTGAAGGTTTTTATGCTAATGTTAATGAATACCTTGTGCACGGTTCGAACGGTACATAAATAATGTGAAACAATTCTAATTACGTTTTAAAGCCGCACTTTAATGGCGTATTCTGTGCAGATGTCACGTGTGCCAGTTACAGTTCATAAATCTTGTTACCTAATTTGCGACAACGGCACAAAAGAGCATTAAATCCTTGTTTGCGAGACTTACATATGTGAGCGTGTCTCTCAGTGTGTGTGTGTGTGTGTGTGCGTGTGTGATGGGGCTAAACAAATGTTTGCTGTCTAAAAGGGTTGTTTTATCTCCTGCAAATGTCACAAAGCGAAATGTGTGCCCCAAAAAAAAAAAAAAAAGCACTCTTCAACCGATTTGTATATGCCTCATTCTTACGCTCAATGCAGGCCATAAATGTTTAATAAGTTTGTGTTGCAGCTGTCGCTGTTCCTTTTTCATAAATAATTTAATTAATAATGTCTAATTAAATGCACGTCGAATTACTAAAGCGACTGCATGTTGGCCATTTTAAATGCGCGCCAAATGTGAACGCAACGAAATGGAAACTGAAACGAATCGAGAGCTGAGCACAATTGTTAAAAGCTCGCTCCCTCTGGCGCTTATCCTGGCCGCAGTGCGCTCATTGGCGCTTTTGCTTCGGCGCCGCGCGACGATGCTGGCTGCCCGGGACTGACACACATCGCCAGGTAAACGGCTGCAGCAGCCGCAAACAGTACCAAAAACAACAACAATATGTAAAGCCGCCTGATCCCTGGCTCACATTGTTTATCTTATCAGCGCGCAGATGGCCAAATGTTAATGGTTACATGGCCAACCCAACCACCCACCTATACAACCACCCAACTTAACAGCACAATTGCGCGCTTGAAAATTGTTCAGTTTTTTGTTTGTTTGTTTTTTTTTTTATTCTGTTTTTGACAGTTCATAAAACAAACAAATAGTCGGGGACTACAAAAACAAACTGTTTTTGTTTACACACTCTAAAAAGTTTGTTTTAGCGGCTCGCGCAACAGTTTTAATAGTCCCAGCAACATTTGCTGGCCTCGCAACATAGTCCAAGCTGAGCTACAAGTGTCCCTAGCGCAACATAGAGCACTCACTGACACTTCATACCCTGCCCCGCGCTCTAAATGCGCACGTGGACACACACACACACACACACACACGAAGAACCGCTTCGCTCACTCCCACGCTGCTCACACTCTCTGCGTTCGCGGTCTGTTCCATTGCCAAAGCGTTGCGCTCGCCGAAGCTTTTGTGCCCATTCGGAGTGCTGGCATTTCGTTTTGCCATTTCAGTTCCTCGTTGTAGTTCAAAGCGTACGGTTCGTCTAAGCGGCTGCAAGAACTGCTTGAAAACATTTGAAAAGGGAACAAGTTCAACTTAGCTGAATGCGAAACGTGCGCGAAGTGAGCAGCAGCAGGCAGTCCCATTGGCCGACTGAGTGAAGTGTAAATAACTGTAGTTACCCCGCATCCTACACGACCCCCTTGCTAACTCCCAACACACACACACAGACACACAGACACACACGCGTGCGTTTATGTGCGTTTCATCTTGCATCTGTTTATGTTTGGTCTTGTGTTGTGTTCTCGGTTCGATAGCGTTGTCAATCCCGCCCACTGCACCGCACTGCCCCCCTTACCCCTACCCAGCCATGAGTTAACCATTAGCCACTGTAATAATATGCTTAAATTATGTGCGCGTTCTGCTGCCTTCTTACTCATTATTAATATTATATTCCGTTTCACTCTTAATGCCTTTTGAGAATTGCAGTTATTTATTTTTTAACGGCATCCGTTGAATTCGTTTGCATTTATCATTGTCTCCGCCCTTTTGCCATTGCCATTCGCATTCGCATCCGCAACGGTAATCTTGCCATGTTGATGGAGATTGATATTAAAATGTCAACAATGCTTGCCAATATCCAATTTTATATATATATATGTATGCATGCAGATGTGTGTGTCTGTATGCGTGTGTCAAGTGTTATCGGCACAAAAACCAATTAGCTGTTAGCATTGCAAGCACTCAACAGCCGAACAGCCGACCGCACGCCCCCGCCGCCCACGAATCAGTGGCAATTGGTCAAACAAAAGTTTGGCGCGTGGAGCCCTTTAAAAAAACAAAAGCGCTGCACACTGTGCACAGTGCACTGTTTTAATTGAAAAACTTCGCCAATTGAACTTTAATCAACAACAAAAGAGACCAAAACGGGGGAGGGGGAAGAGTAAGCAAATAAGTAAATTGTGCAGGCAACAGTCCAAGGACAAACTTCTGCAGGTTTCGCTCTAATTTTCAATTAAAAATACACCTCTCCCCCGCCCCGCAACCCATACCCATACACACACATCAAAACCCAGGCAAATAAAGCCAAAATGGCTGCCAGATGCATTGACCACAACAACAACAACAACAACAACAAGTTCTGAAGTTTTGATCCTTTAGCTTGTCCAGCTTGAGGCTGGCTCGTTCCATTGTTCTGGCAGCTTCCTGTACGCTGCTGCTGCTTTCCCTCGTCTGCTTTGGACAGTGAAAAGCTGCCTTCGAATTTTCAGGCTGCGAGCAATTAAAATATGCATAAAATGTAAATGAGAGAAGACCACTTGGCAAACCCTCAGCCCGCCCCTCCTTCTATAAAAGCGCCCGTCTTAAGTTTTCCCTTTTAACACAAATCTTGTTTAGCGCAAACGAAACAATTTTGTGCCAACTCGTGTAATTAAAGTGCAGCAGCAACAACAGCAACAATAGAAACAATAACAAAAAAAAAAAAATAACAATAACAAAAGGACAAGTGAATGAATAAAATTTAATTATGAGATAATCGTGAAAACAAAACAAACAAATTAAATAACATAAACGCAAAGGAAACACATTAACAGTAAGTCCAAACGAAAAAATGCAAAGTGTGTGCGCGAGGGAAAGGGGGGAGGGGGGGACGGTGGATTTGCAGGACATGCTGCCAACTAATTTGTCCTTGTTGACCAGCAGCATCCCATTTATCAGATCAATAAAAAAAAAAAACAAAAAAACGCATTCAGGCTGAAAGCGTATTTATTTTTAATCTAGCGACGCTTTTCCATAATTAGTTTTAGTTTGCCGCGCATGGAAATGTGGCCAATAATTGCCACGCCCACATGCTGTGAATGCTTTTAGCGGCCACGCGTACATATTAACCTAATTGAATACCCATCAGCGTGGGGGCTAGTTGGGGGGTTGTGGGTGTGGGCCAAAACGAAGCCTGGCAATTACGCTCTCTTTATTTCTCAGCCATAAACAATGCCGCATCCTTTTCAATTTCCGTTGGACTAACAACAACAACAGTAAAAAAAAATAAAATGCGGCATTAAAAATGTTTATGACACACGCAGCTGGCCCAGAAAACGTAAAGGTGGCCGGCCATGTGCCATACGATTAACTGGGCAAGTACCGAAATTCCATTCATTTGCCATTTTTCCGGCAGCTCAGCCTTAGCCACAGATTAGACCCGACAAAAAGGAACAACACAGAAGAAAAACAGTTTGGGCCAAGTTGCTTTTATTTTTTTGCTTTACAGTTAATTACAAGTTGCTGCGGCAACTTTAACTTCAGCAACGTGCCACAAACAAAGGCACAAACAGCAAAGTATATATACCTATACATAGTTATGCCCATATACATATCGCGTATATACACCAGACATATGTATATATATGCGTCTTAATACTGGCGCATTTTGGCATTTATGTGGCATGAAATAAGTTTGCAGCGCCATTAATAAACGTGCCACAATGATACTCTACATATGAACAATGCCACAGCGGGTGTCCTGGCGTGTGCGTGTCTTTGTGCCTGTGTCTGTGTCTGTGTGTGTGTGTGTGCCTGAGTGCGTGGGCGTGGCACATGCGGCGACGCTTCTAATTAGAGCTCTGGCAAGCAGTTGATGAGGGTAAATTGGCAAATAATTAATCGCCGGTTAATTAAGGACTTACATGAGCCAACGTCGTAGCCAGCTCAACCTGCTCCTGCTCCTTTTCCTCCACCTCCGCCCCGTCCCGCTGCTGCTTTGTGGCTGCCGACAATTTTGGTTATTTGCTAATTAAAAAGTATTTAAAAGGAATAGTGCAGCAAGAATTTTTTCAAATTTAGTTAAAGGCATGGCATGAGAAGGCACATAAATGCAATATTAAAGTTTGCATGAATATTGTCCGTATAGTCAATTTTGACGTCCAGTTTTTAGTTAAAAAATTGTTGTATTAGAAAATGTTTTACTTGTCCAGAAACACATGTTATTTTATATGTATTGAAAACAGGAAAATTCCTGAAATATTTCAATCTAATCAAAGAAATATAAACCAAACAAGTTACTTTAAATAAAATTCAGATAAAAATTAAAACTACTAAGATGATTAATTATTTTATACAATTTTGTATTACATGGCATTAAAGCTGGAAACTTCCAGAAAAAGTTTCATTCTAATCGAAAACTTTAATAATACGAGTATTTCCAAATACAAAACAAATAAATTTTATATTGTATGACAACAAAGCTGAAAACTTTCTGAATAATTTCCATTGAAATGCAAAATTATATGATATTAATCTATGATAAAATCTTCAAAATACTTAAGTTATTAAAAATGATTTATATATTATTATTATATTAAAAAAGCGTCTCTTAAAAAGAAATTAAAGTATATCTAAAAAAACAGCTTTTGGGCCTCATTAACAATGCGAATAAATAAACAATTTTTTATTTTTGTACAAAGTATTGTTAACAAATTCATAAATGTCAATGAAATGATATGTTACACGAGCTGCCATGCCATGGCATCTATCTATAGGGTATATCTGCGAATTAGTGAAATATTTGCAATTTATTTCGTTGGCCGACTCGGCGTATGCGTAATTTTTATATGCGCGACTGCTGCTGCTGCTGTTGCTGCTGTTGTTGCTGTCTCTGAACTTTGTAAACATTGAATACTTGTTTATATTTGCATGCGCAATTTTCAATGCTTCAGATACACTCGCACACACACACACACACACACACACACGCACTCGCACACCCTCATCTTTAAAGCATCTTTTTTCTTCTTATTATTGTTTTTCGTTCTGCTTTATTGTTGCTTTTGTTGTCCGTCTGCACAGTTTAAGGTCGCATAGTCATTCATTTTTTGAGCAATTCCTGTCGCTCGTTGTTTAACACACACTCGAATTTGATATTCATTGAAACTATAAATCTTTTATGAGCAGTCGCTGCAGCTTAGCTGAGTCACATGCCATCCGCCAGCCGCCAGCCGCTCGGCAAATGTTGTTTTCCACAAAATTTAGCCAATCAGCTGCTGCCGCTATTCGCCTAAATACTTAAAACTGAATATGTTGGCCTTGTGTGTGTGTTTGTGGAGGGAGGGGGTATTTTTTTTTGCTTATTTCTTACTTGAAGTCAATTTGAATGTTTGTTCGAGTAGTTCGCAGAGCGGTAATAATTTTATTGCATCCGCATATTGCTCAATGTTTTGCAATGCTCAGAGTGTAAACAGTTCGAGGGAAATGAATGTTCAGAAAAGACTCGCATTTGAAGTGGAAAACGCTTTGCTCAAAAAGTTTAGATAATGCTTTCCACAAACAAAAACTATAAATAAATATTGATTTATAGCGTGAAAACAAACTAAAATAATGAGTTCCCTTTAAATTTCTCTATTTACCATATTTATATAGATATTATTCATAGATATATTTTTCAAGCACAATTTCTAATAATAAGTTAAGTTTTGCTCGAAATCAGATGATAAACGAATTATTGACATTTGTATGAATTTATTTATTTCATATTCATTTCATTGTGCATCGAAAATGTTATCTAGTTAATATACATTTTTTTTTATAGATTATCTGTAATATGTGCTCGTTGAGTAGTTCTGTCCAAAACAAATAAACACATGCTCTCTAATAAGGGCCTAATGAACATGACAAACATATCAATCACGAGTCGAACTTCAGCTTAGCGTTAAGATAGTTTTTTATGAATGCTATAAATACTATATAAACTATATTGTAGAGTTTACTAGGCGCATAGCTTTAAGCTCTGTGTAAAAAGAGGTTTGTCAAATGAAAACTTGTTCAAGTTTAACTCCTATGACAGCTGCAAGATAAAGTAGGTCCAATGGGACAGACGGACGGACGGAGGGACGGAGGGACAGACGGTCATGACTAGATCGTGTCGGCTATTGATGCTGATCAAGTAGATGTTTCCTGCTGTCTTTTGCACATGTACACTTTTCTCTTTTTACCTATTTTGAATGGGTTCGGGGCATAATAATTGTATTTCTAGTAGCGGCAAGAGGTTGCAGCTCCTTAGACTCGTTTATATTTATAATTTTTTTTTTTGTTTTTGTTGTGCTTATTATTAATGAATATTTATAATATATAACAAGCTCCTGCTATATAGAAAAGTCTACATATTTTAGTAATTAAATTTGCTTTTAATTATCAAATTTTCTTTGTTCTTTACAAAGGTCTCTCGAATAGCTTGAACACATTCATTTTTGTGCTCTCTTAAAGCATTTCAATTCGCAGCACTCTCTCTCACTTTCGCTCTTTCTCTGTCTCGCTGTCTCACATTCTCACACAGTTTCTCTGAGTAATCAAATTGTTTTCGGGTGCACCAATTAAGTAAAGTGGGGCCTCTATGGGTCTGCTTTTTCTTTTTTTTTTTTTTGTATACGAAATGTTTGTGGCTCTGTCTGCGGCTCACATGGCGTATGAGTAATGTGCTCTAAAGCATTTATCTGCGCGCACACACACACAAGCGCACAGCACAGACACGTACTTTAAATGCAAAGTGAGCGCATAAAGTTAAAAAATAAAGGTAGACAAACACACGCACACGCACAGGCTGGCGAGTGTCCTTCAACGTGTGCCAGTCTGTGTGTGTGTGTGTGTGTGTGTGTGTCAGTATGTGTTGCGGGTTAGCTGGGATAAGCAGAGTGCTGCAAAGTGCTATAAATCAACACTCGAACCACTTAATAAAAGGCAACGCCATTAGACAACAGCAACAGCAGCAGCGTTGACGTTGCACGTAACCCGCTGCCACAACTCATAACAATGTCATACACACACACACTCGCACACTTCAGCCACGGCAAGAGTGCAAAATTTTTCGCGTTTTTTCATAATGAATTATGGCAGACAAAACAAAAGCTGGAAAAACACAAAAACAGAATCCCAAAACAGTAAAACAAAAATCTATGAAGCGGTAGCTCAGCAATGTGGTGGAGTAGGGGGCGTGCTTGAGGCTGCAGTGCCAAAAGTTGATGGAATAAAAATTATTAACAAATGCCGACAGATTGTGTAAACAAGCGCCACCGAAATGGCCGCCGAAAATTGCTGAACGCCAAATTGTGGGCGCTTTGAGTGCCACGGGCGGCGAGTGTGGTTTTTGAGGGTGGGGGGGAGGTCGTGGCGCTAAAAATGTTTTCGTCACGCGCTTTAATTGCCACGCCTGTGTGAACAGCGAACGCAACGGAGGCGTTCGCAAACGCAGCAGCAGCATCAGCAGCCATCTGCGGGGCGTGGCAGTTGCTAACAGCCCACGCCCCCAGCCTCCGCCTTAGCCAAAAAGCGAGCGCAGAGATTTTTGCATCTGTTTAATGTAAAGCAATTGCAAATTAGCCAAAATTGTAGCCAGCGTTCGCTTAATAGCCACATTTTCCGTTCTGTGTGTGTGCGTGTGTGTGTGTGTGTGCGTGTGTGTGTGTTGTGGCTGCTCTTATCGGCAGCCGCGTAATAAAAGCTCTTTAGTGCGGCCTTTTGTATGAATTTAAATATTTGCACAACGTTTCATTATTTTCATTTGCCAAGACGATGACGTTGTAAGAGCCCGCTGCCAGCCCTGGCCTA